TATGTCAAATACTTGCATGATAATACTAGATATAAATCATGCCTTTCAAGGTGTGGCATTCACTTTTGGGATCTTTACATAAATAGCCGTATATATTTATTATTTACTTTTTCTAATCATATACATAGTTTATACATTAACTATATACAATTATACACATATAATATATAAATTATGCATATATTATACCTTCCCCGACTATTTTTAGTTTAAGCAATTGGGTGGGTAGCTATTTGGATTAATTCTTCTTCACTTTTTTCATAAAGACATCCAAATTATACTAATAGCTAAAATAAGTGAAACCTTCAAATTTTCGCTTCTTAACTCAAAAGTTTAATAGAATAATTAAATTAAAATATTAATGCATTTATCTAGACTTAACTCAAACGAGAAGACAATGGCGCAACTATATATTTAGTGTGATGTCCCAAAAGGTTATCTTTAAATTTAATAATTAATTCTGTGTTCTAAAACCTCGAAAAGCACTATTTATCATTCCTTGACTTGCGAGCACAATCCGTAAAATTTTTCGGAAAGTTTTTATATGAAAAAATTGATTAAAATATGAAATAGAGCCTTAAAACTCAGTTGAGTTGACTTTGGTCAATATTTTGAGCAAATGGACTCGGATCAGTGTTTTGACAGTTCCAGTATGTCTGTATCGTTATTTGGGACTTGGGTATATGCCCGAAATTTAATTTGGAGGTCCCTAACTTAAATTACCGCCAGTTGGCGAAAACTAGAAGCCCAAAGGCTTAAAGATTTTAAAGTTTGACCATAAATTGACTTTTATTGATGTCGGGGTCAGATTCGAGTTCTAAAAATTTTTATAGGTCCATTATGTCATTTATGACTTATCTGTCGAATTTGGTAAGAAACGGAGTTGATTTGTCATGATTCGGACAATCGGTTGTGAAAATAGAAGTTTTAAAGTTTTCTTAAAATTTTTATTTAATTTGGTATCCGATTCATAATTCTAGGTGTTAAATTGGTATTTTGATCGCGCAAGCGAGTTCGTATGATATTTTTGGACTTGCGTGCATGTACGGTTTAGAGCCCCAAGAGCTCGGGTGAGTTTCAGATAGCCTACAGACCATTTGAACTTTGGTGCATGGCGTTTCGCGATTGCGAAGAGGAAATTTTGAGCCTTGAGTTTTACCCTTCGCGTTCGTGAAGATAGGCACGCGATCGCGGATGGTTAGCTCCCAGTGCACCGCAAATGCGTAGAGTTGATCGCGTCCGTGTAGAAGGAATGAAGGCAGAAGCTGGGCACGCCATTTGTGCTACGCGATCGCAAAAGTCAATACGCGATCGCGTAGAGTTAAAATTCTGGGCAACCAAAATATGCTTCGCGATAGCAAAGAGTTATCTGCGATGGCGAAGAGTAAAATGGACCTAGGCAGAAATTGTTCTACGTGATCGCGAATGAATTCCCGCGATCGCGATGAGTAAAAATCTGGGCAACAGAACTTCAGTTCTGGAAATGGGATTTTGTCCCATTTTCCACCATTTTAGATTTTGAGCTCTGGTAAGAAGCTTTTTGGGCGATATTTATGGAAAAATATTGGGGTAAGTGTTCCTTATCCTATATTGATTATATTTCATAATTCCATTCTCATTTATATCATGAATCCATGAATTTATGGAAGAAAAATCAGATTTTTATAAAATCTTCCAAAAATATAAAATGAAGATTTGAAAGCCAATCCGATGTCGGAATTCGATAATTTTTGTATGGTTGAACTCGTATCGGAACGCGTGTTCGGATTTCGTGAGTTTTTTTGGGATTCGAGATATGGGTCCCACTGTTAATTTTTGAAATAAATTTCGAATTTTAATCCGAAAAAATTAGTAAATTTATATGGAATTAATTCCTACGATTTGTATTGAGTATATTGAATTGTTTATGACTAAATTTGAGGATTTCAGACATAAATTCGTGAGACAAAGGTGTATTGGAAACTAGAATTTGGTTGCGAAGCGAGGTAAGTGTCGTGGTTAACCTTGACATGAGGGAATAGAACCCTTGAATTATTTGTTATGTGAATTTCATGTGCAATGATGTATAGGCAAGGTGGCGAGTGCCTATACTTTGTCAATTTAATTGTTTGTTTAATTATTTAAACATCTTAAATTATTTTAAGACATAAATTAATTGTTATAATAATTGTTTCTCTCCTATTCCTTGTCAAATATTAATTCTTGAATTCTTGTAATAATTGTCACATGCTTATTTTATTTATGTGTCTTAATTGCTACTTGATATTTAGCATATTAAATATTATACTGCCTATTTTCTTCCTGATTTCCACAATTAATTGCTACTTATCATTGTTTGTTTCATAAATGAATTATAATTATTGTATGCTTGTTGTCTTATAATTTCATATTAATTGTTGTATTTATTGAAGTAATTTCTTTTATAAGAATTGGTAAATGGATATATTGGAGGAGCGGCTTGCACGTCGCAACAGAAATAAAAGTGAATATATTGGAGGAGCGGGTTGCACGCCGCAACAGAATTGAATATGCACATATTGGGGGATCGGGTTGCACGCCGCAACAGAGTTATTTAAAATTTATATTGGGGGATCGGGTTGCACGCCGCAACAGATTTATTTAAAGGTTATATTGTTGGAGCGGGTTGCACGCTGCAATGAAAATTTATTGAGGAATTATATTGTTGGGGCGGGTTGCATGCCGTAATGGAAGTTGTTTGAAATAATAATTAGTTATGACTACCGAGTTGACTTCAACTGTTAAATTTAGTTACCTGATTTATTTCTATTATTGTTGTTATTATTATTATTGCGTACAGGTTAATGTAAGTGACATGCCTTAGCCTCGTCACTACTTTGTCGATGTTAGGCTCTGCACTTACCAATACATGGGGTCGGTTGTACTGATACTACACTCTGCACTTCTTCTGTATATTTTGGAGTTGGTCCCGGTGGTGTACTGTAAATTTGCCCGGATACAGCTACCAGTGGAGACTTGAGGTATAACTGCACAACGTTCGCAGTTCTGAAGTCCCCTTCTATCTTATCTCAGCCGTGTATTATATTTCAAACAGCTTGAATTTTGTGCAGACCTTTATTTGTATTATTCTAGAAGCTCGTGCACTTATGACTCCAAATTCTGGGATGGTATTTAGATATCGCGTCTATTATGGATTATTCACTTTATTTCAGACTTTATTTCCGCACTTGTTTTTTTGTTATTAGTTAATTTAAAATTGTGTTAAAATGACTAATTATAATCTAACGTTGGCTTGCCTAGCAAGTGAAATGTTAGGCGCCATCACAGTCCCGAAGGTGGAAATTTCAGGTCGTGACAGTTGGTAGCAGAGCACTAGGTTATATAGGTCTAACGAGTCACGAGAAAACTTAGTAGAGTCTGAAGGATCGATATGGAGACGTCTGTATTTATCTTTCAGAGGCTATGAAGTTTAGGAACAATATCACTTCTTTCTTATACTGTCGTGCAATTTTATTCTATCATCGATAATTGAATCATTCTATTCTTATTCTCTCGCAGATGGCGAGGACACATAATACATCTACCAACGGACAGGGACCAGAGCCCCCGGTGACAGCTATGGCTAGGGGTAGAGGTCGAGGTCGTGCTAGAGGCCAAGGCAGAGATAGAGCTCAGTCTAGAGCTCGAGCAGGAGCATCTGTTATAGAACATCAGGTGGATATTCAGGAGGAGGTTCCAGTACAGACTGTACCAGTTGGACCAGTTCAGGTCCCGGAAGGATTCATAGCTACTCCAGTGCTTCAGGATGTTCTAGTCAGTTTGGTGAGTCTTATGGAGGGCGTGGCCCAGAATGGTACATTTTCAGTGGCACCACCCATCTCACAGGCTGGGGGAGGAGCACAAACTCCCACTGCTCTTGCTATGGAGCAGATGGCTCCCCAGAATCAGGCTCCAGCAGTCCCGCCAGTTGGGGTAGTTCAACCAGTTATTGCGTCACAGGCCGGTGATAGGCTCGTCATATCTTCTGAGGCCTTATTGAGACTGGATAAGTTTACTAAGCTCTTTTCAGTTCACTTCAGTGGCACACCTTCTGAGGACCCACATGATTATATTGACCGCTGCCTAGGGTTGGGCATCGGTCGGTTCGGTTCGGTTATGAATATTATCGGTTTAGCATATCGGTTATCGGTTTACAAATATGATAAACCGATAACCAAACCGATAAGATATTAGTTATCGGTTATCGGTTAATCGGTTATGGATCATTATCGGTACGGTTATCGATTTACCCGATAAGATAACTCAATCTAGAGTTAAGCAAAAAAGAGAAGAGTAAAACAGTTTTAAAACTCGTTTCTGGCCACAATGAAAACAGTTTTATAAAACAGTTTTATATCGGTTATGGACAGTAAACACAACTAATTGTGCTAATCTTTCTGCTAGCTTTGACTTAATCTGACCCCTGCAATATAGTTGTTGTATCACATGTCTTACTAATTGTGCTAAAATAGTTTTATATCGGCAACTAATATTCAATGTAATCAACACTACATTGAACAAAGAATCTGCAACAAACATAATCTAACACTACATTGAACAAAGAATCTGCAACTAATATTCAACATAATGTTGCTGCTACAACTTTCCAGTTTCCAACACTACAAACGTCAACATAATGTTGCTGCTAACCCATAAAATCTGTAATTAATAGTTCGACACTACAAACAGTTGTCCAATTGTTTGAAAGAGTAGGGATGACATCGATAGAATCAAACACAACTAATAGTTCAAACACATTAATAATAATACAAAGTAGTAGCAATTTCACCTTAATATTAACAAGTCCAAACATAGTACTAATAGTTCAAATTCAAGTTAACAAGACAACAACTACTCAATCCTTATAGGCTTCACCAAATTGCGCTCCAAACAATGCTCAACATGCCTCAATAAGTACTTAGTACCAGTTTCATCATCGCAAGGTAACATAAAACAAGATGACAATGACTACATCTTAATTTTCACCATCCATCATCACCTTCTTCAATCTTTTCATAGTGACTCCGAACATGTGAGATAGCTTTGAGACCACAAAGTCGAGGCATGGTTACACCTATTAAACATAAAAAGAAAAAATATTAAGTCAAGTAATATTTGTAAACATACTATGTGTTTTATAAGTTGAATAATTAACTTACCAAAGTTTTAACTCACAACTATCTAAGATTCTACACATCATCATCGCAAGGTTCGTTTCCAAGTTTGGAAAAATCTATGAGAATATATATTAACAAGTCAAACAACAAAAATATTAAATAAACTATTTATAAAAATAATATACAATCAAACAAATTAAAATATTTCTACCTTGCTCTAGTTGCTCGAGAACATCTAAATCTTGCTCAACACTTACAGATAATGGCTCACTCCGAAGCCAATCTTGAAGGCACACTAGAACATCCACCAATTTAGGAGTCAATGAACTCCTAAATGAATCAAGAATATGCCCTCCAGTGCTAAATGCACATTCGGATACAACACTTGAAATAGGAATAGATAACACATCCTGAGCCATCTCAACAAGAATGGGGAATCTAGGTGAGTTTACTTTCCACCAAAGCAATATATTAGAGTCTGCTATTTCATTTTCAACTTCTTCTGTAAGATATTTTTCCAATTCCGATTTAAAATCTGAACCTCCAATCCCAGCTTTATGTCTTTTTAATTCTTCAAAGAAAGAACCAAAAGCTCCTCCGCTTTGGACACTAATAGTATTCACTAAAAGCGATAAAGTAGAAGTTTCCATTGTGTCCAATGAAGAGTTAGATAAACATAAAGAAGGATGACAACCTTTATCTTTTGAATGAGACTTTACATACTCATCAAATAATGAAGTCATATATGTATGCACTGCCTTCGCGATAATTGACCCTTTTTCTTCAAACATCTTCGCAAGTGCAAAACTAACGGAATCAAACTTGTACCGAGGATCCAACACACATGAAATGAAAATCATCTTGTTCATTTTTTCTGGATCACCCCAATACTTATCAAATTTCTCCTTCATCTTTTTTTGCCATTGAACCCAAAAGAACATCTTCATTTAATATCAATTGTTTCAAGTAAACAGCAATTTCATAAATTTCAAGAAAATGATGATTTGATGTAGCATAAAGTGAGCCAGATACCTTTAAAGTAAGCTTATAAAAGATTTCAAGAATTTTTGTCAATTTCTTTACATCCTCCCAATCACTACTCAAAAGTGTACTTGTAGGACTTCCATCCACAATATCAACAAACTCAAGATGATGTGACAAGCCAATATCATGATCAGTATATTCTAAAATTGCACTCTCATATTCAATAGCCCTATTCAACATCAAGTATGTAGAATTTCACCTTGTAGGAACATCCAAACATAAAGATTTCCTAACTAGATTTTCTTCATCACAACATTCCTTAAACTTTTTCCACCTAGCAGGAGACTGCCTGATATATCTCATTACTTGCCTAATACGTTCAATAGACACAATTGATTCTTTTATACCATCCTGAACAACAAGATTCATAATATGAGCCATACACCTCACGTGAAGGTGCTTACCATTCATAGAATTGGTCCCCCATTTAGTTAACTTCTTAGAAAGCTCCTTCACCGTCACATCATTTGAACTAGCATTATCAACTGTGACAGTGAAAATCTTTTGTAACCCCCACTCTTTCAAACAATTAACAATACTATTTGCCATATCTTCCCCCCTATGACTAGAAATTGGACAAAAGATGATAATTCTTTTATGCATTTTTCATTCACTATTAATCCAATGAACAGTAATACACATAATTTATTCGTTATAAGGAAGTCCAAGTATCAGTGGTAAGGCAAACTCTCTGATCTTTAAAAAGCTTCACCAACTTACGTTTTTCCACATTGAAAAGATCAAAACAGTCCCAAGTCACAGTTCTACGTGAAGGAATTCGAAAAAAAGGTTGTGCAATTTTCATAAAATTCATATAACCTTCCTTTTCAACAAACCTGAAAGGAAGTTCATCAACGATCACCATACGACACAAAACCTTCCTACATTGTTCTTGATCAAATTTCTAAGGAACAACATCTATATCACCCTTATTACCCCCGGAACAGGTTGAAAGGCTAATTTTGATTGACTTTTTGCAACATCTAAAGGTATTTTTTTTATAATTGGTTATATGTGTAAGCAGAAATTTCGTACCATTATCTTTTGTATCAGCAAAATATTCTCTTTTGCAATATTTATAGACACCCTTTTGATTTCCTTCCGAATCAATAATTTGGTAAAAATGATCCCATGCAGGAGACCTCTTTTTTCTTTGTCTCCTTACTGTTGATTGAATTGATTGAGATTGTACTGTCGCATTTTAATTAGAAGCTCCACTTTTACCAATCACCTTATCAATTATGATATTTTCAGCCATGCGTTTGTGTCACTGTGAGTTTGAATTTAAAAGAAATCAAGCAACGAGGCAATAAAATCTTAAAAAATGAATTAGAAAAATCTAGACATAAGGAAACTGAAGATGAAAAATCTAGACATAAGGCAACTGAACAAAATACATACTGGTTTATCCTACACCTATTTTCTCTATGATTTTACAATTAATATTCTTAGAAGTTTTTCATTCTTAAAGCTGATTCTACGATTTCCTAGTACAAGACTTAGTTGGAGCAGCATAGACAATTATCATATCATCATAACTCCTTTGCATACCACTAGGAGTGCTTAACGTGGAAGACCAACTTAAACTTGACTAGAAATTGTTAAATGAGTTCCATGTAGACAATGAATATGAATAATTACAGGATTATTTGTTAACTACATTCAAGCAATTAATGTGTTGCACATTGGAATAGTTACCCAAAGTCTAATCTAATCTGAAATTTTGCATAAAACAGATAAGTTGAATTCAACAGACTGGCCAAACCTAGGGCACAATAGGCAAAAACCCTTGAAAAAATCAGTATATTAGCGAGAAACACATAAAAATTTCGCAAATATATTTTTCTTTTTGTTTTCCATCTATTATCCAAAATCAATTGGCCCGACATATTTGGAGTCAGTCGCATTACTAAAAGGGGTAAAATCGTAAAATGCCTATTCTTAGAAATTTTTCATTCTTAATGGTCAAACTCAAAATTTCTTATTAAGGATAAAGGAACTTGAACAAATCAATTTCCTACTAGTTGTGATGGAAAATCAAAATAGAGCATAAACGATTTGAGTAGGCAACTCAAAAATAAACTGATTAGAAAAAATGACANCGAAACACATAAAAAATCGAAAATCGCAAATACATTTTCCTTTTTGTTTAGCCATCTATTATCCAAAATCAATTGGCCCGACATATTTGGAGTTAGTCGCATTACTAAAAGGGGTATAATCGTAAAACGCCTATTCTCAGAAGTTTTTCATTCTTAATGGTCAAACTCAAAATTTCTTATTAAGGATAAAGGAATTTGAACAAATTAATTTCCTACTAGTTGTGATGGAAAATCAAAGCAGAACATAAACGATTTGGGTAGGCAACTCAAAAATAAACTGATTAGAAAAAATGACATAAAGATGGATTAGAAATCAATAAACGATTGAATCAACTGAAGATGAAGATGAAGGCAAGTAAGCAACTGAAGATGAAGATGAAGCAACTAAAAACTTACACGAAGAATGAAGATGAAGCTGAGGAATGCGGTTGAAAAATGTGAACTGTGAAGCAACTGAAGAGTGAAGAGTCTGAACTCTGAAGAATGCGGTTGACAGTTAAGGCTGAGAAAGAATAGGAAAGAATGAAGCCCTAGCATATCTGCACATGTATATACTTAAGGGTAAAGTAGTAATTTTGTTAATCCTTATTGGGTTATCGGTTAACCCAATAACAGAATTGCCAAACTGAGGCCCGAACCGATAACCCAATAGTAAAAAAATTCTAAACCGTTAACCCAATAACCTAATATCGATAACCCAATAAATAATTAATGGTTCGGGTTATCGGTTTTACCCGATATATGCCCAGCCCTACCGCTACCATGAGGTGCTACGAAACATGGGTATAGTTGAAACCAATGGGGTCGATTTTGCTGTATTTCATATGACGGGTTCTGCCAAGAGGTGGTGGAGAGATTATACATTACCCGACCAGTTGGATCGCCTGCATTGACCTGGGAGCAGTTTTCACGGCTATTTCTAGAGAAATTCCTCCCTATCACATTAAGAGAGGATTACCGCAAGCAATTTGAGCGTCTACAACAGTGCAGTATGACTGTTACTCAGTATGAGTCCCTTTTTGTGGATTTAGCCCGTCATTCTCTCCTTTTACTACCTACCGAGGGAGAGAGAGTGAGGAGGTTTATTGAGGGACCCACTCACACTATTAGGCTTCAGATGGCCAAGGAGACCAAAAGTGAAATTTCCTTTCAGGCGGCTGCTAATGTCGCGAGGATGATCGAAATGGTTCTTGCATAGGAGAGATGGCAGAGGTCTGATAAGAGGCCTCGTCAGTTTGGTGGTTTCAGTGGTGCCTCGTCTGGAGGCAGGGGTAATTTTGGTAGGGGTCATCCTCCCAGACCGTTTCATTCAGCACTTCAGGCATCTCCCGGTCCTTCAGTGAGTCACAATCCTATTATGCCTTACTCTGGGTAGCCAACATTTAGTGCACATTCATCTCCTATCAGTGCACCACCACTCCAGAGTCACTATAACGGTTATCTGGCCCGTTCGGGTCAGCTTCAGCTTCAGTAGCCACTGCATCAGGATGGGTGTTATGAATGTGTGAACATTGGTCACATTAGGAGGTATTGCCGTAGGTTGTTGAGTAACAGATCTTGACAGGATTCTCGTGCCATCATACCGGTACCGGTTGCTTCACCGCCTGCTCATCCAACTAGAGGTAGGGGTCAGGAAGCTAGAGGTGGAGGTTAGGCCATTAGAGGTGGAGGTCAGGCCGTTAGAGGTGGAGGCCAGCCAGTTAGAGACCGTCCCAGAGACGCAGTTCAGAGTGGTGGGGCCCAACCCCGATTTTATGCTTTTCCAGCTAGGCCTGAGGCTGAGTCATCCGATGTCGTGATCACAGGTATTATTCCAGTTTGCCATAGAGATGCTTCAGTTCTATTTGATTGAGGATCTACTTATTCCTATGTGTCCTCCTATTTTGCTTCGTATTTAGTTGTGCCTCGTGATTCTCTGAGTGCTTCTGTGTGTGTATCTACACCAGTGGGAGACTCTATTATAGTAGACCATGTCTATCATTCATGTTTGATTACTATTGGTAGTCTTGAGACTAGTGTGGATCTTCTACTTCTTGATATGGTAGATTTTGATGTCATCTTGGGTATGGATTGGTTGTCACCTTATCATTCTATATTGGATTGTCATGCCAAGACGGTGACCCTAGCCATGCCGAGGTTACCTCGGTTAGAGTGGAAAGGAACTTCTGATCATTCTACCAGCAAAGTTATTTCTTATATGAAGGCTCGACGTATGGTCGAGAAAGGGTGTCTAGCCTATTTGGCTTATATTCGCGATCCTAATACGGATGTTCCTTCTATGGACTCAGTACCAGTTGTTCGTGCATTTCTAGAAGTATTCCCTGCAGATTCTTCGGGGATGCCACCCGACAGAGATATTAATTTCTTTATTGATTTAGCTTCGGACACTCAGCCCATTTCTATCCCACCATACTGTATGACCCCACCAGAGTTCAAAGAATTGAAGGAGCAGTTACAAGACTTGCTTGATCAGGGATTCATTAGACCCAGTGTCTCGCCCTGGGGTGCATCCGTGTTATGTGTAAAGAAAAAAGATGGTTCAATGCGAATATGTATAGATTATCGGCAGTTGAACAAGGCTACTATCAAGAACAAGTATTCACTACCAAGAATTGATGACTTATTCGATCAGCTTCAGGGTGCCAAGGTGTTTTCAAAAATTGACTTGAGGTCTAGTTACCATCAGTTGAAGATTAGGACATCTTATGTCCCTAAGACAACTTTTCGGACTCGGTACAGGCATTACGAATTCCTAGTGATGTCATTTGGGTTGACAAATGCCCCAGCAGCATTTATGGATTTGATAAATCGAGTATTCAAGCCCTATTTTGATTCTTTTGTGGTTGTATTCATTGATGATATCTTGATTTGCTCCATCAGTCGAGAAGAGCATGAGCAACATCTTCGGAGTGTGCTGCAGACTTTGAAGATTAATCAATTATATGCTAAATTTTCAAAATGCGAGTTTTGGTTAAACTCATTCGCCTTTTTGGGGCATGTTGTATTGGCAGAAGGCATAAAGGTGGATCCTAAGAAGATTGAGGCTATTCAAAATTGGCCTAGACCTACTTCAGTCACAGAGATCCAGAGTTTCCTGGGTTTGGCAGGTTATTATCGTCGGTTCGTGGAAGGGTTTTTATCTATAGAAAGCCCATTGACCAAACTGACCCAGAAAGGTGCCCCATTCAGATGGTCAGATGAGTGTGAGTTGAGCTTTCATAAGCTCAAGACTGCTTTGACTATGGTGCCAGTATTGGTATTACCCACAGGTTCAGGATCTTGTACGGTATATTGTGATGCATCTCATATTGGGCTTGGTGCAGTATTAATGCAAGATGGCAGGGTAATTACATACGCGTCGCGACAATTGAAAGTTCACGAGAAGAATTATCCTGTTCATGACTTAGAATTGGCAGTCATTGTTCATGCACTGAAGATTTGGAGGCA